AACCCAAACCCCTGCATTTAATAGGTTGGCTTTTTCCTGGGCGTCAGTTGTCAGTTGTCCCATCTGGTTTAGCAGGGGTCCAATGTTGCCCTTGCTTTTCCTCCAGCTCCCCACACATCTTCATTTGCTTCATTTCAGTCTATTCACCTGGTTCATCCAAAATTAAGAAATTGACTGGGTAATGAAAGAGCAGGAAGGCTACTTTTCCTCTTCCAACATATTCATTAAAATGAGTTATTAGAGGATGCGCTCAACTACTTTTAAAATCTTGAAGGACAAGGTGACATTAAAATATCCCTACAGTCACTAACTACAGATATACTTTCTTTGCTGTATAATTACTTATTGTGTACAGATACAGTATATTTTTATGGCTAGCAAGAAGAATTTAGTGTGAAGGGCGTGTTTAGTTATAAAGCAACATGTTTTAACCAATGAGAAGCAACCTTTCTTCCCACTTAGCCACATCTGAGTTTGAACCCAGCTTAAGAAACTTCACCGCTGTACTGTATGTAGGCTGAATGCCTTGTACCTTCTTACACACAGCTGGAACTCTGGCTACTCTCTGCAGACTCAGGATACCAATCCTTTAAGCATCTGAACTGATTTCCAAAACCCCCAGGAGTGACACTTTATTAGAAATGGAAAATCAAATATAAGGCCTTGGCGGTGCTCATAAAACATCCTGTCTAGACAAACTAGGGCAAACCCCTAATGCAAGTGGTTTCCCTTTGCATCAGTAAGTTCTTGACTTGAGCTAAACTGTTATAACTAAGGAGTCCAATGGTTCAAGTATGTCTAAAATAGGAATTTGTTCTGGTTTGACTAGATCAACATTTAAATTTCACTGTATTTGGAGTGAATCATCCAGGAACTATACAGAGCTAATGAGGGTGTAAAGTTTCCCAGGGTTGTGAAGTTTCCTAGGTTTGACAGTGGGATTCTCATGCCATGAATACAATCAATGCCATAGCTAGAGGAGAAGAGGAGAATATGGTATAAATATGGAAGCAGCAGCAAGTTGGGTGAGAAATACATCATTAAAAGAGGTTCCCCATGGCTTTATAACCCTTTGGGTGCTGAGCTTAAAGTATACGTGTACTTCTGAGCTACCTACTCCAACAAGTATCTGAAGCAAAACCCTGTCTGTCCAATCTATCCCTGTTGGAGTAACAGCATGTTCAGAAGTACAGTCCCCATGAGGCTGTCCTCTGTGGACTGCAACAGAGAGGCCATAAGCATGGCAGTGTGAGTTGGTGTGGGTGAAATTAGAACCTCCCCTCAGCCTCTGAACTCTGGTGAGAAGGGATGGCCAAGTTCAGTTCAAAATCCCGGTGGAATCCTGGCTGTATTGAAGTCAATAGCAAAACTACCACTGAAAGTAGCAGGACTTGGACTTCACTCCCTATGTTTCCACAAACAAGTGTACCACTCACCCTGCCTTTGATGGCTGAAAACACCAGAATGTAAAGATCCAGCTTCCTTTCTGGCCACCTCAGTGCCTCTCTCTGCATGTTCTCCCTTGGCTAACAATCTCCCAGGCTCCTCCAGGGTATATCCTCTTTTTCAAAACCATCAGGCTCCACTTTTCACTTTACCCTTTCCCACCCTGGGTCTAACTCTCCAACTCCCACCTACAGTTTACTGTTGGGAATAAAAAGAGAGGAACCGAACTAGGGTTTCCTGGCCATCGGGAATAGCCTATGCTTTCCACCCCATTTGTAAACCCAGGATCCCATGGACCCGTTATAGCAACAGACTGACAGAGATGATGAGAATGAACATGGGTGGCATTCCCACCACCCATGACAGGCCATGGGAAAGCACATCGCATTAGCAAGCAGGGTGAGAAACTCACACCACCCACCAACCCCCCAAATAAAACACATTCATGTCTCGGGTCCTTTGGCTCCAGGACAGCTCTGTCAAGTTCTCCCTGCTGGTAATGCACACTGCAGGGGAGCAGCCACTGCTTTGGGAATGGTATCAGCCTCTGCACTCATTGTGCTGAACAAGAAGTGCTCAGCCATTTCTCTGCTTTGCTCCTCTCCCATCCCCAGTCAGGACATCAGATTCTAGTACTGAACACCCACCCATGAAGGTTGGAGATCTGGGCATGGTTTGCACTGAAGATTTGCCACCCCTAGCTGGCATAGCTAGGCTGGAACACCCCTAGCATTGATGCAATCTGACCACCTACAGCTCTTTCACTGGAAGAGATGCTGGGGAAGACAGGGCTGCTTACAAAGGAACACTGCATCTCCACTAGGGTGCTTTGCTGGGGTAGATGTCCCCACATGACTACTTCAGCCTAAGCCCTGGCATACAGAGAAAATCCTAATGATGGAGCGTGCCACCAATCATTCCTGCCAAGTGAGAGTCTTCTCAGGCAGAGGCCTCCATGCAGACCATGAGCTGCCCAAACTATATGCCACAACAGCTGATCTGGCAACTGGACAGTGTAGAACTCCCTCCACACTCTTGCATTTCTACACAGTTTGTAGGAAACAAGCCGTCATGAAAAAGCAGTCCTGAGCCTAGTCCCCCAGCATAGAGACAGGGCTGCACGAGGAAGTTAGCTGCGTAGATACACAGGCTCCAGGGGGACTTCCCCCAGCATGAGATTAGTGTAGAGCTAGAAGAGGGCTATGGGTGAGCTATCCAGGTAACCAATGAACCAGTCCATTTAACAGCTCGTCCACTTACCCAGTGACCTTTCCATCCCAGTGGACTTTTCCCACCCACTTGCCAAGTCGGCCTTTAGCAACAGCTCTACTGAATGCCCCTTACTGGAAAGGCAGCGAGAAGGTGTGCAGGGGGAGGGGGCATTCTGCGCTCCACTGGGGGAAACACGCCACCGCTCAGGTAACAAAGAGCAGGGTGGGTTTTTCAAGCTTGTCTCATGTCAGAATTTCCTGCCACCAGAGCCTACACTTCCTGCGTCAACGTCATCACTTCCTGCCTTAACACTGCTCGCCTTGCGAGCAAACTGCTGCCTCAGAGGCAGTCTTGGGCAGGGGAGGCTGAGGCTCCCCCTAACACAGTCTCCCCTGGGGCACAGGAGTGTACAAAGACATGGGGAGATGTGGTTTATATTTCAGAGCTATCCAAGTACCTGCTTGCAAAGGACTCAGTGATCCTGGAGATTGTTTTGGCAGGGGCAGAGGGGGTCTTTTACAGTGCTGCCTCTCAGTGTGCCCAGAGGATCCAAGTTATGACAAGCCCCTTGCTACCAAATCCAGGCATCCATATGCTGGTAGACCAATCCCAAGCTTGGGCTGCTGGCTGCTTTCCAGTTGCAAGACTGACCCTGGAAAGAAATGAAAGGCCAGGTTAATTTGTAGTTGTCAAATATTTGATGTAAATGCTGTTTGGCTCTTAGCTCAAAGAGAAAGAGGGCAGAAGAAATGCCTCAAAGAGCCTGTACAGCATTTCAAGATTCTCCAATGCTGCCAAAGGAACCAGGAGAAAACCTTGACTGACCAGCTGAGTGGTGGGACTTCAGCAAACTAGCACAAGGATGGAGGGGCTCAGATGTACCACACACAGCTCATGCTGGTCAGCCAAGGAGCCTCACAGCAAGCACAAAATGTCAGTGGGAGCAGTGATAGGCGAGGTGACTTTCACACACAGGAGCTGTGCATAGTTGTAACTGTGTCAATGGACTGGCTCAGTGCAAGTCCATCTGAATCAGTTCAGACTTTCTAGTTTGCAGACTGCCAGGGGAGATGCTCTCCACACTCCTGTGTTATTCCAGTGAAGATAATATCTGCTTTTTGGAAAGGCTGGGCTGGTATAAAGGGCAGCTGCAAATGGGAGGGAGATGGATATTCTACAGGGTAGCTCTGTCCCTGAGGCATGATGGGAACAAGTCAAAGGGCTGTTCAGTTCCAGTGAATCTGCCTCAGATATAAAGGGTGGTGTTCCAGGCACAGGAAGCAATGGAGGCTTCTTGGGTGGCATGCAAGAGTGACAGCTTGTATTGGTGATCGCAAGGTAAACTGAAACACTGGGCATGTCCTGGACCCTTTGCTCTGGTAGGCTGTTGCTCTTGTATGCTGGGGCCATTGGAAATTCCCCAACTCTCCTAGCTCTGGAAGACAGAAAGAATGTAGTAAAGATTTCTGTTTAGGCGGTGGATGTCACTGAGGGAAGACCTATTCCTGGGCTGAGGTCATCTGACCTGGCAAAAAACCTGGCTCGGAAACCAGAGACAGCAAAAACCATCTTAGCAGCACCTAAGGTGTGGACATGATACTTGTGTCCCTGGGTCCTCCCATCTATTTGCTTGCTTCAGACTGATCCAAGGGGCAGGCTGTGATGACACAGTGGCTGTGCTAGCTGTTGGGCAACATAGTCCCTTTACCGGAGAGTCTGTGCTTGATACTGTTGGGAGAACTGTACCTTTGCAGCTTGACTTAGGGTCTTGTAGGCCAGACTGTTGCTGAAACAATGTTACGAGGCATTACTCCACGAACACCTAAGTGATACCCAATCAAGTAACGAGCTCCAAAGCCTGGAATGTGGTCTAGGATGTGAGCACAACCCAGAAAGCTCAAAAGTCCAATGATGCTTTCAACCTACCGCAGCAAATGACAAAGACCATGGGGAGAGAGGTGTGTGAAAATGGCCAGTCCCCCCACAGTGAGCTGCTGGCA